TCAATCTGTGAAATTTCTAAAATCTCCACAAACCCCTTCTGATAAATTCTTATATCACTAAAATAGCCTAAATTCCTTGTCTATCAATGAGATATACTTTAAAAAAGATACTCTTCTGTTTACTGAGAATGAGGAATCGTTATGAAGCTAAATATTCAGACTAGTTAGTGAATAATTGACAATCTTTTCATTCAGTTATAGAACAATTATTTCATATTATCAATTAAGACACATTCCAATTTCTTGATGAATACATGATATTGTAAAACAAAATACCAAATTACATCCCTTGATTAACCCATAATAAAATACTACTGTAGTGAACAGAACACGGGTGGGGACAACCGAATATATTAAACACAAACTTACAGAGAATCTCAATAAAATCTGAGAACTATTTATCAAACCGTTAATTTGCAAAAATGTCCACCAATTGTCTTAAAATGCCTCAGACTTCATTGCTCTTACATTTCATACAAAGTGCATTCTATTCCCGCTCTTGCTTTCTTGATCTTCCCTCATCTTCTGGTGCCAGACAGTACATTCCTGACTCGCATCATATACTACTTATACCAATATAAGTAGCACACATCACACTAATTATTTGTTAACTTTACTAGAAAGAACTTGTAAGGAAATATAGTTTCCTTTTAAGTATTCCTACGATTTATGTTGTCATTAACAATACATACTTAATTCTACAAATGTAAACAAGACTTAAAATGTTTTGATTGAAGAGCTAAGTAAATAACGTAGGCTGGTATTTCACTGAAAATATCTTTAAATGCCTATGTGACTCTAATCGGTTAAAATCTCTAATTCAAGTAATACCGAATTATTTTCGATTATAGTCTAAAATGAAACCCATTACGTAATCAGAGTAACTGAATAAAGCAGTATAAAGAATAAAAAGAAAACAGTCTAATACGAAACATTTGTGGATTAAAAGATAAATCATGAAAGTGGATAAATGGATGTGTGGTGCGTGCTACTTATATTGACATAAGTAGTATATGATGTTAGTTGTGAACAGAAGGTGTAGCAGCAGAGATTCAAGAGGATCAAATAGTAAAGAATGGAACAGGATGCAATTAGTATGGAAATGCAAGAACAATGAAGTTCGAGACAATTATTGAACATTTTGCAAATGAAGTATTATAGTATAGTTTTTCTATTTTACCAAGTAACTCTATAATTTTGTGCTCAATGTAATTCGGTCAGTCCTCACCTGTGTTCTCCTTCACTACAGATGTATTGTAGATTAACCTCATGAATTTTTTTAGCAAGTTTATATAGTTGAAACGAGTGAATAAGACAAGTTAATAAAGCCCATATAAACACATATTTAGAGAAGATAATATAAATACCAAGTAAATAGTTAATTCCATAAGGATTAATACAGTATAATTAACATTCATAACAATGACACATCTAATAAACATAAGATCTATCTGATTACATATATATATATATATCCATAAAAGGAATAAATTTGTGTAGGGATAATAAAAATGAACCCGGTTAACACTCTCAATTAATTAATAGTAAGAACCATGATATCTAAATTCGATAATTCCCCTTAAAGTTTCTTTCAACAATTAACATTGGTAAAATAATGTGTCACTTTGTTATTTTGATAAAACTGTTCCTTTTTTTAAAATACTTTTTTAATGAATTCATTAAAATAAAATGGGTCATGATAAACAATAGCATAACCATGGAAAATCTGAAAACACTGAACGATCATCTAGCCCAAGTATGAGACTCCTCAAGAGTACGCATCCACGATCCCGCCCAGCAAGATTCGAACCCAGGACTTACCAGTCTCGTACGCGGGCAATTAATCACTAGACCACTGAGCTGACCAAACTGTGTTAATGTCTAACTTCAATCAGTCAATGAAGTTGCGCCACCGTCTACCATTATTATCAGGACTGATGGGTCCTGAGTTCAAATCTTGCAAGGTGGAATCATGGATGCGCACTCCCAAGAAGGAGTCCCAGAATAAGACAAAACGACCGTCCAGTGCTTCCAGGTTTTCCATAGTGAACTAGCTTCAATTGACTCACAATCATAACTATTGAAATGTCACAATCTTTAAAATCACAATTTTTCTAAAGTCGATAGGTATTGTAAAAATTTAGAGGATATTATAACTTGTACCCTGTGTCCTATTAATCTTAACGTAATGATACTGCCAATTAGAGAATAGTGAAGTATCGACTGGACCAATGACGCATAAAACCAGTACGAGTAGTCTAGTGTCCTTATAGTTCCTGCTTCCTGCTTAGCCCTGCCTGTTAAGTCGAGAACACTAATCTCAGCCTCTGCAATATGAATCATTTATTTCAAGCATACTGGGTTTATATACTAACCAGACAGACCACATCGTACCATAAATTAGAAAATAATATTTCTACAAGATTTAGACCAAAGTGGATGTGAATTTGGGAGACTGTAATTAATGGACTGGGTTGAACTCAAGAACTGACTTTGAGAGTGTCCACCTGATAACCAGGACTAAATGAGGTTTATAAATCTGTGTGAGGAATTAGAATTATGATTTGCAGTTGATGGAATTACATTTAGGGTTTTTCATCACGAACTGGCATAAATCTATTTAGCCAAATGGATGAGTGAATTTCGCGCCAAAATCCGAGACCTGTTATCTTACACCTGATTGCTCCGTCCATAAATTATAGTCTCCCCACATTTTCAACATAATTATGAATATGTACACGTAAATAATTGAGGTTCTACAAACTGACATTAATTAAAATGAATTACATGCCGATATTTGATTGACTCATCAATACACTTTTAATCTGCATTTTCATCTTCTTCCACGTTTAACTAAGTATTATCATGTACTGTATACAATTTATCCCTTCTCTAGCTAAAAGGAGAACAAATATTAACCACATTAAACGTAAACAAAACTTATAGGCAATGAATAGACTGAAAACATTGTACTTCATTATATTAACACTGAATCACTAACTAATTCTGATTAGCGTTTTTTCTTAGTGAGTTAGTTTTCTAAGGGATAGGCTCGCTAATCCCATGCCTAACCCTCCTCCTTTATCCAGTCTTGAGACCGGTATTAGCCATCAATGATTTCTCCATCCATTGACAGATGCTTAAGTTTCTCCCACATTCATTAGCTTTACATGATCCATGATCTTATCTAAGTACTTACATAGCTATGATAGATACTATAATATTATCACCATGATTAACATTTACATGAATTTGAGATTGAGTTCAATCAGCCCAATAGGTTGATTTTTTTTTGTTTTTTTTTGGATTTTTAAATTTAATAAGAGAATGGGGTTAATCTCAATTATGATTGGTTATTGTTCAAGGTCAGTAGTCAGATAGGAAAGTGAATTTAAACCAATATAATATACAGTAGTAGATTAGCATTTAATCAATCAATAAATAGATGACAGACCTATCCAGGTAAAAAATAAAAAAATAAAAAATAAAAAAATTGAAAAAAAATAAAAAATAAGACAGTCAAATCATCTTTTATTCATCAAAATAACCAATCATGATAAAGTTGTAAATGTTTCATCCATTTTATAATACTTTCCCCATTATAAATGAATAAAATACAAGAATGTAAAAATGCAATTCTTTGGATCTAATTTGGATCTTATTTCATTTCGGTTAATATATCTACATAGATACAATATCTTTTATCATTCAATGAATAACTAATTAAACACATTAGATCATATATATGTTTATGATAGAAATGTATTTTTTTTTTGGTTTTTATTTAAATCCATATCTCAAATGTAATATGAATATTATTATGAAGGAAAAGATTAAATTGAATATATATTCTATATAAGGATTGTATAGATCTTTTTTATAATGTGGATAATCTGTTGTCGTAAACAAGAACGAAAAAGAAAGAAAATAAAAGAGAATATAAAATTAAAACAAAAAGATTCTATTGATTATCATTGTAAAGATGCTGATCATGATGATGATGATGATAATAATAATGCGATTAATGATCATGATCATGATCATAATGATGAAGATAAACTGAAAAATGATATGAAACTAAATAATGATTTATATGATTATACAGAAAATGGTTATTATCTTAAACAAGAAAGAAGAAGTTTACCAGATGTTGTGATACCTTCAACAAATTTAATTATTAATCATTCATATCATAATCATAATTCATTCATAATACAAAGACCTAGTTTACAAATGGATTATAAAATTGAACATAGACCAATAATCCTATTAGAAAGTACAATTCCATTAGCTAAATCAGAAAATATTGGTTTAGATGATAATTTAAATGATGATAATAATAATAAGAATAATATAAAATTAAATATGAATAATAAAGATTTTATATTGAATAAACGAAGAGCTCATAGTTTGATATCAACTTATCAACAACAATTAATCAATAATCATAAATTATATCAATCAAGAAAATCTGATATTTCACAAAATCATAATAATGATCATAATAAGGATGAAAAAAAATTAGTTACTAAGAAGAAACTTAGTTTATTCAAAATGAAATCATTAAAACGTTTTCGTAAATTTAATAAAGATCATTACAATACAATTCAATCACATTCATTATATAATATAATAAATGATCAAACAAATATGATCACAACTATAAAAGATAATTTATCGAATAGTTATAAAATGAAACCCTCTATAAAATCTATGAAACAATCGAAATTATTTGCATTAAATAAATCATTACATGATACTATGGCAACAGTTAAGAATGAGAATAATCATGATGATAAAGATTGTACTGAATCATTAGATGATAGTTTAGGACAATTACCTAATAATAATAATTCTATATTCAAGCATATTCATCATCAACCACGTCAAATAATAAAACATTCTGATTTTATAAAATGTAATAATATTGATTATTTATCTAATCATTCTAATCATAATCATAATATTGTATTAAGACGTGGTTCACTTTGTATTTTTAGTCAAATTGATGAACCGATTGTAACACCATTTGCTCAAATATTGGCTAGTTTAAGAAAAGTTCGATTAAATTTTATTATATTAACAAATGTGACAAGTACAAGAGAGTAAGTTATCATTTTTACATGGATACAATTTTACTTTGTTTTATTTCTCCTTTTTTTTATGATATAATACATATTTTAATAGTTGATATCATAAGTCAATTGAAGCTAGACTATTATGTAAAACTTAGAAGCATTAAAAGAACGTTTCATCCTATTGTGAGACTCCTGCTTGGCAGTGTACATCCACGATCCTACTTCATAAGATTCATAACGATCGTCTAGGTATATACTGAGCTTATATACCGACCAGGCAGACCACATTGTACAATAAATTAGAAAATAACATTTGTACAAGATTTAGTCGAATGTGGGAGACTGTAATTAATGAACTGGGTAGAATTCAAGAACTGACTTTGAGCGAGTTCACCTAATAACCAGGACCAAATGAGGGTTATGAATCTGTGTGAGGAATTAGAATTATGATTTGCAGTTGATGGTTAGAGTTAGGAATTTATTTATTTATTTTATCTCTTTTTTTAACAACTAATACAACATATGTATATATCAGAAGGGTTTTTGTGGATATGATAATAATTTCAATGGTTGAAATCACGAGTTATCATGGAAAATCTGGAAGTACTAGATGGTCGTTTCGAATCTTGTGAAGTGGGATCATGGATGTGCACTGCCAAGCAGGAGTCTCACAATAGGATGAAACGTTCTTTTAGTACTTCTAAGTTTTACATAATAGTCTAGCTTCAATTGACTTATGATATCAACTATTAAAATATGTATTATATTATTTTCCAATTCGGTTACATCATATTATTATTACATCTTTAGTTAAAAAACTTAAAGTGTACTATCTTATCTATTCTGTTATGACTTTATGTCCGGCTTTTTATCACGTGACTTATCCACGAACCAAAATACGACTTATACAATCGTGGCACTGTGCCAAAACCAATGACGTTCGACCGGTATGAACAGCCTAGCGTCCTTATTGGTCTTATGTCCTCCTAGCTCGTCCACTTGAGTCCAGAACAACAATACCAGCTTCCACTATGCAAATCGAATCATTTATTTCAAACATACTCGGTTTATATATCAATCAGACAGACCACAACGCACCATAAAATAGAAAATAATATGTGTATACAATAAAGCCAAAAAGTGGCTGTGAACATTGGAGGCAGTAGTTTAATGAACTGAACATAGCTTAAAAACCGTAAATCGTACAATAATGAATTGTAGGTCAAAATAAAGCTTATAATAAGAGGGATATAAATATGCATAATCTAATTATTGAGTAATTACACCATAAGAATATATAGGTAATATTAGTCAATTAATGTCTCAGGAGTTACTCGTGGTTTAATCTTCGCTCGGATATAACATATTCATTTAATATATATATAAAATCTAATATAAACAGGCAGAGAAGAATGAACAACAATTGGATATAACTAGAAAAGAAGGTACACGACAGAATGGTTTGGAAAATGCTAGTCGGTGGCCTATGCTCCACTGGGAGTAACAAGCGTAAGTAAGTTAGTTAGTAAAGCGCCAAGAAGGATATGGACCACATAAAATAAACAGAAAACTTTCTAAACAAATAAAAGTAGGTAAAGGAGTAAAAATGTAAAATAAGAAAAGTAAATAATAAAAGATACGTAAATAAAACAAAGAAAAATTACTTCCAGTAAAAGGAAGTTCATTTCACTTTTATAAAGAGTAAAGAAGTAAACTTCAACATTTATACGAATATTCGTTAATATTTAAACAAACAGTTTAACAGAATTTAGGCGCCAAGTTTAAAGAAGACATCATTTGTAAAAGTTTTATTTGAAATAATATCAGTGATTGAAATTTATATAATTTCGATGTTTCGTCCAGCAAACCTATGTGAACTTCTTCAGGATACTAGTCAAAATTGTCAAAGAATCTGTAGTGCTTAACAAATAAATCAAATCTATGCTGTGTTTAGTAAGGAGGATAATATAAATCAGTGAGTTATGATTTATATGAATAGTTCACAATGTGAAAATAAATGAGCTAAGGTGTGTGTGTGTATGTATGTATGTGTAACTTTATGCTATGAACAGTTAATATTCAGTGAATCATCTGCTTATTAAAAATGAAAACGAAAGTAATAACTGACTTGGTATTGTTTGTTTGAATCTTCCCATTCATGTTTAGGACTACAATTGACTGGAATCCAGTACCGTTCATTTCAAACGCCATCGCGTTATTCACTTAGCTACTCAGTCCCAGAGTGAACATCAACTCTGAGATGCAGCTACATCCAGCTGACGAGTCCCAAATAGGACGAAACGCGCGTCCTGGATTCCACTGCTAACCACTATCCATCTTTGCATACAAATTGAAAATGGTCTTAATTTAAATTAATTTCTGTCAGAATAACAGTATATGTGAAATAAACAGGTTGGATAGAGATCTAGTTCAATTACTTGTTAATGATTATTTCTCAAGGGGTGGCTAGTTGAATACTATCTTTTCTCTTCAAGTCGTTCTTATCAGCTCCTATATACAGAGCTTCTGCTGTCAATCTTTTTTGTTTGCAAAACCCTTTCTGAGCTATTTTAGTCCCCTCAAAGTTTATTTTGTGTCGTGTTTCTAAAGCATTAAGCGCTATCATCGACCTATTCGAAAGTTTTTTAGATCAACCGAGGATTTGGAAACATGTTTTAAATATTTTTTGTGTTCCTTCAACCTCATATTCAACTGTCTATATATTTCTTCGACATAAGTTGCATTACGATCATGAGAATTGATCTCGTAGACAACATTCTACTGTTCTTTTTTTGAAAACCTACTGTTAACCCCTAGTAACGCTGATCTTATAGTATCACTGACCTGAACAAACACTCTTATGCTTGTTTAGAATACTCTTAATTTATTGTGGCGTTTCTTTACGGTATGGGACGACCATGGTGTTCGTCCATCCCTTCGGCATACACTAATTTAGTTTTCCTTTCATTTCTAACAGTCTTCTTTGAGAACTGTTTAGCATAATTGTTTGCTCTAATTGTAGATAATATTTCATTCAATTCAGTCTGTTGGTTTTTTCTGTGATGAGATTACTACTCTTATTAATTAAATTCTTTACCACTATGACATTCTTACAATAAGCATGAGCTTAACCGTGATCTAAGTATCTCTCAGAATGCGTCGATTTCCTGAATGCATTAATTTTTAGCTTACTATTATGTTTTCTTACAGCCAAACAATTGAGAAACACTAGTCTGTAGTTAGTGAACTCTGTCTTAATGTCATCCGATATGTTGTTCACATTTTTTCCAAATATTTCTTATAAACTATTTCGTTTAATGATGAAAAATGTCATATGCATACAGTAATTAAACTTTGGGTACACATATACACTTTGTGATCTCATTGGTTTCTAAGGAATGCGTGAATAAAGTTGCTACAAACTGGTGAACCGATTATCACATCTATTTGTCTGTAAAGATCTACTCAGAATAGAAAAACTAACTTTGGCATGTTCTCCATTAGGTTTCATTCCTTTTTATATCTAACAACTTCTTAACCCACAGAGTCACCATCTCTAGAACCCTAACTAGGGGGTTTCGATATGCTAACAGGTTCGAAGCCACCATTAAACTCCTGATAAGCACCTCAAAATGAGCAACGGTCCTGAACATATCCTCAACAGTTGTAGTTGATCAGAACATGATCAATCTGAGTTCAAGTTTAAATAGCAAAAAAAATGATTAGCAGATGGAACGCTGGTACTGACCAGAAACAAATTATGGTCTGCATGAAGCTGGAGGAAACTGTCACAATTATCTTAGCTGAAACCTGGAAGTCCTAATTGCCCACCCAACTGACTCTATTCTGTATCCAGACATTTATCTGTGCATTCAAATTTCTTTTCCGCACTACAATCTCTGTCAAATGAGTCGCCTTAAAAAGACCATTTAATTGTTGGCAGAACTCATTCTTGATTTCAGAAAGGCATAATCTTACATAGTTTCTTCACATTTTCATAGGACCTTCTAACCTGATGGTATACATGACTGTTGATAGAGATCCAACAGATGAGTGCCAGGGTCCTCAGATAAGAACACGTGAAATATACTTTTCAGATTTACAAATAAGGAATGAGTCTCATAAAAAGATCTCAAAAATAAATCAAACTTCATTACTTTAAATTTCTAAATAACCTCAAAACAGAAGTTATCTTCATGAATCGCTAATTTTTATGAGTTTGAGCTTCATCTTATATAGTCAATTAGTTATTCTAAGGAGATTGATTTAGTAATACTTACGGTTAGTGTATATGAACAGCTTTGTAGGTTTTCTGTATAATATATATAGTATTGGAAAGCGTTTAAATGCGAGGTAATTTTCGAAGTAGAATAATTTCAAAAGCTAATGATATTGTCAAGAGAGTAAATGAGAATTTTTTAATTAAACCATTCAACTCATAGAACATTATCATAATCAAGAAAATCCATTAGCGAAAATCAAAACATTTCTTATCCTATTGAAGACTTGATAGTTAAATATACATATATTCTAGTATTATTTTTCACATTTCAATTATTTAAACGACAGATTGATAAAGAATATTTTAATTATCCCCAAATTTTATCCTAACATGTGTTTATTTTCTAGTGAACTAATAGGTTTTGCTTTAAACATTGAAAAGGTGATCTCTGGATAAATTTTCTGAATGATACGCATTTATGACAGTATGCATTCATATCTAGCTCAAAATACTGAATAAAAACAAACAGCATTAGAGGTTTTTTGTGGATATTAAAGTCATTTCAATAAATGAGACCATGAGTCAATTGAATCCAGACCAACATGGATAACCTTGAAGCACTGGATGGTCGTTGGATGCCGGCTGAGTGGTCTAGATATTAGATCCTGTGCTCAAGTCTTGCTAGGCGGGACCGTAGATGCGCATTAATGAGGAGTCTTACAATAATATGAAACGGTTGTCCAGTGCTCCCAGGATTTCCATCATGGTCTAGCTTCAAATGACTCATGATCTCAACTATTGATAA